CATCTGGTTCCTGACAGAATGTAATTTGACATTGTTTTCTCCATGGCCAATTGTCACTATTGCCCAAGCACTGAAATAAACAAAAGACATCTATGTTAAAAACCATATCATACTATGTGTAGACTTGGCCAGATATGTATCTACTATACCGAAGTACTGCGATGTAAAATGTTTTTCGTGATCCGATTTTATGAGGCGATACATCGGCTAAACATCTCCTGCTTGGACTATAATTCTGAAGATAGTATAAGTTGCAACCAACCAACAAAGTTTTACAGTCCCTGCGACCTTTGGCGGCTCTATGGAAGCTTCAACAGTTGGAATTCTGAAAAGGAGGCGCTCCGTCTGAAACGCAGCTCGGAGTGTAAGGTGGTCTCAGGTGGAGGATGGAAACGCGATCCCGGACCCGCGTTTCTCGGCGGTACTCCCGTGGCGCCGAGGCGAGTGCAGGGAATGGACGGTGCTACGCTCCTGGTTGCTGGGCTTCCCCGTACGGGACAGGACTTCCCCCCAAACCCACCTAGAATAGTCCGAGGAGGAATTTGAATATCCTGTCAGGTTGCTCTTGATTCCGAAGATATTCGTGTTGTTAGCGGCAAGGTGGAGGCAGTGAGTCGAGTCGGTTGCCTTGAAACACCTTGGCTTCGGACCCAGTGGCCTCCAGATGAGCTCTTGGTTTCGTTGTGGCTGTACCCGATGGGTGATCGAGTAGGGATTTGCCCCGTTGTATTGTATCGCTTCATTAGTTCGGTGCTAGCCTGGTCATCCTGTAGCGCTGAGCTGGGGGAGTGGCCCCTACCAGGCTTAATTGAGGAGGCGCCCTGGTGAGGTGCTGCGTTGCGGCGATCTCGAAGCCAGCCCAAAGGTGCACTTGCACGCCAGCGGGGGGGGGGGGGTTAAAGGCCGAGAGCCTAGGAGCCCAATCTGGGCAGCAATCCCCCTGGTATTACAAGAAGTATGGGGCAGAAGCCTACGCCGGGAGCCCACTGTAGGAGGGTGCCCCCGCAGGGGCCGCGTAGGGCACAGCTTCTTCCTGGAGTGTGGTAACGCCCAGAGAGAAGGGCTGGGGACAGGCAACGGCCGTGGACCCACGTACAAAAGTAGGCGAGGACTATTGAAATCACCTGTGTAAATACTTTATCTCTGACGCGGCCCACACCGTGCCTAGAAGGGGTACGTGGGAAAGCGGCTGCCAGAGTGCAGAATAGTGCAAGGGGAATGGAACATAGCCTCACGATGCCTGTTCCGGCTCAACCATGTCGAAGTCCCTAGGAGCGACACCAGTTAGTGTTGAGCGTGGGGAGTCTGGAGCTGAGCGGATGTGATGCGATCGCACACAACCGGTGTACCATAGTCGTAGGCAGCTGAGTGCAGGGAAGGATGCAGGAAGGCAAACTGCCGAGATACGGGAAAGTCAGGTGTGGATGGTCCAAGTAATAAAAATATGACTCACAACCATATTAAAGGTTTCGTTGTGGCCCCTGAGGCCTTGCGAGATCGACACCCCTGGCCTTGATGGAAAACGGAGCCTCATTCCAAACCAAACGTGAGCGGAGGGCCGCCAGGTCCTTGGCGGAGATAAGCGACCCGCCCCGCGGCGCAGAGAGTAGGCGGTGAGTCACCGACGCAGGGGATCGGGTGGGAGGTGAGGAGCCTCGGCAACCCTCGGGGCCCTTCTGTGGTCGCCGCAGAAGCGCTTTCCGAATACCGCTGCTCGTAGTAGAGCATTGGTTTGAGTGGTTTTTCCACGTGCGGCAGACCCTCGCCACCAGCAGCGCAGCTAGCACCGCTAGCAGAACGCAGCCTTCGGCGACGGGCTGGGCTCTTGCCACGCCTCTGCGCAACGCTCCC